CTGTGTGAGGCCTGTAGATGGCATTGGTTAGTTTTTAATGCAAATCTAAAATCCCAGCCAGGAAAGGCGCACTGATTTCATTGAATGCCCTTCACATTGGAATGTAACAGCCACATTTAAAATTGATGACATAATTTGAATGACATTGCTAAGTGTGTATTGAAGAGGTTCTGGATGTTAAAAAGTTAGATGTATTGCTATTAATTAACTCATTATGAAATATTAAATAATGGAAAAATTGTTGCCCTTAATGAGGGTAGAGCTTATCTGGAAAAGAACATAGATTTATATAGCACAGAACATGAAAAGGTTATTTTGTGCCTTGCCATCATAGTCCTCAATCTATACTTTACTCTAATCTATGCACTATTATAGTTTTCCTATGAATATCCTCAACCTATAATGTGCCATCATGTGACCCACTACTGTACATTAGATAATAAAAGGGATGCAAATTGCAGATTCTAAAAAAAAACAAGTAGTGAGTAAATACAGAAAGTAAATCACTATCAGTGGGGTACCTAGGGGGTGTAGTACCTCCATTTAGGGGGAGCCTGCACTGCCTGAATTTGTACTTATTTTTTCTGTCTGCAAACACAGTGTCGCTGAGTGACACCCAGCAGTGCAGGCACAGTCTGTGTTATGTAACTTAGGATTGTTGGTAGGCAGGCAGGAGCAGATTGATCTGATGTCACCCTAATCTTGGGTAAAGCAGAACTAAAAGAAAAAATACTTATCTTGGTTCCAACAGTCTGATGCCTGTGAGGTCCCTCACTGGCATCTTCTCTCTTGCTTCTTCTGGGTGCCAATCTTCAGCCGCCTCGATTGGCTAATGCAGAAAGACGTCACTCCCAAGCATGTGCAGCACTACAGTCATCTAGGCCAACCTTTCTCAACAAGGAATCCCAGGCACCCTGGGGTGCCTTGAGGTTTTCTTCAGGGGTGCCTTGGCAAAATGTCTAAAAATTGTTGGTTATGTGTTATAGAAGACACTGGTAGTGATAGCAGAATTCAGGCTTTACTTGTATGGCTTAAGTTACAAACATACAGAGCACATTGCAGTAGACATATTACAGACACATTACTTCCTGAAGAGATGATAGAGAAGAGGGAGGAACAAACAAGTTTTCAGATATACACAACTAGTAACCTTTTAGTGTATAGTGCCATCTACTGGTCAAGTGATATTAACACACAATACTATATATAGTACATTATAGTACATGCTGTTGCATTCCCAACACCCCTTCTCAACTGCATGTGCATAATTATATGACATTTAGTCTCTTTTGTAGAAAACAAAAATGTTCCCTTGTTTTTGGATAATCTGGTTCCATTGGTGTTTTCACTTCCTTTGCATCTTGCATGTGAAACTGTTCTAACATTTCTGTAATTTTCTGACTTTGGTTAAGAAGATAGCTTCCATCCTCTTCCCCGCTCTATTTGAATTCCTAGATAGTGAGTAATGTTCCCCAACTCTTTAATTTCAAAATTTTGTTTCAGTTTGTGAACTATTTGGTCATAGTCCCCTTCTTGTTCAAAACACGTCAAGATGTCATCGACGTATATTAGGATGTATGTCCATTTGTTCTCTTGATTCTTTGACTACAGACATGGATCTGCTTTACTTTTTGAGAACCCTTCCTTTCTGAGTATTTCGTTCACTTTTTCATTCCATGCTCTTGCCGCATGCTTGAGCCCGTAGATGCTCTTTTGCAGTTTGCATACAAGGTTCTTTTCTTTCTCAAAGCCTGGTGGCTGTTCCATGTACAGATCCTCCTTGATGTCTCCATACAAAAAGGCAGTTTTGACATCTAGATGCTTCACTTTCATCAAAATAAACACTGCGGCTTACTGCGACCTTGTTGGTCTTTGGACAAAGGATTCTATATCCCTTACTCTGCTCACTGTAGCCAACCAGAATGCCTTCTATGGCTTTGTTCTCCAACTTGGAGCGTTTCTGACTTGGAATGTGGGCATATGCTTTACAGCCAAATACTCTGATATGTCCTATGTTGGGTTTTGATCCATTCCACATTTCATATGGTGTACTCTCAATAGCTTTTGATGGGAGCCTGTTTTGTAGGTATGTTGCAGTCATTATTGCTTCTCCCCAGTATTTGTTAGGTAAGCCAGCGTCCGTAATCATACATCTTGTCATTTCTACAAGAGTGCGATTCTTTCTTTCCGCTACACCGTTTTGCTCAGGAGTGTATGGTACGGTTGTTTGGTGTATAATACCTTGTTTCTTTAGGTATGATTCCATCTCTTTATTCATATATTCCCCTCCATTGTCAGTGCGTATTATTCCAGGTTTCCTTTGAAACTTGTTGCTTGTCATAGCTACAAACTCTTGAAGTTTTTCTAATGTCTCACTTTTGTGCTTCATTAGATACATTATTGTGTACCAGGAATAATCATCGATGAAAGTCAGTAAATATCTGTTCCCGCCAGGTGTGATGGTTTTCATTGGTCCGCACACATCACTGTGTATCAGTTCCATGGGTTTAATGGTTTTACTCTGACTGGTCTGTGGAAGAGGGGTTCCGGTGGCCTTTGCTTTGATGCAACACGTGCACTTGCTGAGTGTGTGGCAAGGCAATATTTTCATGTCTTCTGATAGACCTCTCTTTGCAAAGTCCTTTATAGCTTCTGGGTTTTGATGCCCCAATCTCCTATGCCACAGGTGGATGCACTTGTCATGTGGGTTATGAGTTGCCGCATTAGCCTTCTCACTTTCAGTGATGAGTTTGTACAGATGTTCATTTAATCTTCCTCTTGCTAGGATTTGCTTTCCATTTTGAATTGTGCATTCATTACCTCTGAACTGGACAGTGAGTCCATTGCTTGCAAGAGTTTTAACTGATAGGAGGCTTCCTTCTAGGCTTGGAACATATAGAACATTCTTTACAAGGATGCTCTGCTTGCCCCCTGATGGCGTTTTGCAGTTCAGAAATCCCTGACCATTACCTTCCGCTGTAATACTTTTCCCATTTGCTAGGAAGACTTTATCTTTTACACTAAAATCAATTTCTGTGAAGAATGTCTCGTCGCTTGTCATGTGACTTGTTGCCCCTGAATCAATGTACCATCCATGTGAGGTACTATTCTGAGTCACTTTAAAAGTACCACTCCATGATGCACTTTCATTTTCTTTCATGACTGCTTTAGCTCTTTCTCTTGTGGGTAGCTCCCGCTTTCGCTGCTCAGCTTTCCAGTTTGAACAGTTCTTTTTCAGGTGACCGGCCTTTTTGCAGCGAAAACATACCCTGGTTTCTTTGCTTTGTCTTATGCCTTCATGCACCTTCAGAGCTGCCTCTGGTCTCTTGTTCTCTTCACTATGTAAATTTTCCTTTCTTCTGCTGTATTCATCAATTAATTTTTCCTTAACATATTCTAGCGTCAGTTCAGTTTCCGGTCTAGTTTCTAGAGCATTTATAAGGGCACTGTATGATTCTGGAAGGCTGCACAGAAGTATTGAAACAACATGGTTGCTTTTTAAATCTTTACCTACTGCACCCAGCTGGTCCACAATTTCTAGCATAGCATTTACATGTTCACCCATTTCCTGCCCTTTTTCCAGCCTCATCTTATACAGTTTGCGTAGCAGATATAGTTTGCTGTTTAGGTTTGCATGTTCATGCAGCTTTTGTAACGCAGTCCACATACCTTTAGCTGTGCTTTCTTTCCTTATATGAATGAGTTGATCATCCTCCACTAACAGGCTTATGACTGCTTTTGCTTGCCTGTTTTTTTCTGTCCCATTCTTCTGGGTTGTCATTGGGTCTGTGTGTATCTAGTACCTGCCACAAGTCATCTTTGGATAACAGCATTTCAAGCTTAAACTTCCACAGCTGGTAGTTGGTATTGTTGTGCTTTGCTATTGTAAACTTCATATCTGAAGCACTTGCCATCTTTCAGTGAATTGGTAGGATTGTAAATGCAGCACTTACTTGCTTGTAGTTCTCCTTTTTTTCAGTGTCTGGAGCTGGGCCCATTACCTGTTGGTTATGTGTTATAGAAGACACTGGTAGTGATAGCAGAATTCAGGCTTTACTTGTATGGCTTAAGTTACAAACATACAGAGCACATTGCAGTAGACATATTACAGACACATTACTTCCTGAAGAGATGATAGAGAAGAGGGAGGAACAAACAAGTTTTCAGATATACACAACTAGTAACCTTTTAGTGTATAGTGCCATCTACTGGTCAAGTGATATTAACACACATATATATATAGTACATTATAGTACATGCTGTTGCATTCCCAACAAAAATTGCCCAAAACTTGTATACAAGCCAGCAGGTGCCTTCTAGTTACACAAAGCCACAGGTTTTCATTGAGCACCATTTCGACCTTCTAGCCGCCGGCATCCTGACAACCAATGACATCATCAGTTGATAAGGAGGATGTCAGCTGGCTGCACAGCATCCTATTTGGCCCTCCCCTGCCCCTCTCCATCAGTGCTGGGGTCACATTAGCTCAGTAATGGAGAAAAACTGAGGGAGAAGACAAATATTGGAATACTAGTCAGTACCAGTGTGCAGGGGCGTCCCTAGGGTTGGTGTCACCTGGTGCGATAACACTTGGTGACACCCCCTCCGACAATCCCTGCAGAATGGATCGGATCTGCGGATTGAGCATAATGGATCGGAGTCTGATCCATTATGCTCCCCAATCCGCAGATCCGATCCATCCTGCGGGGATCGTCGGCATGCAACCTATATGGGGTGACACCAGACCCGCTCCACGAAAAGGTAAGTTGTAAAGAAAGCAGACGATCCCCGCAGGATGCATCGGATCTGCGGATTAGGGAGCATAATGGATCGGACTCCGATCCAATATGCTCAAACTGCAGATATGATCCATCCTGCGGGGATCGTCAGCTTTCTTTACAACTTACCTTTTCGTGGAGCGGGGGTCCGTGTCACCCCATGTGGTAGGTGTCACCCGGTGTGCCGCGAACCTGCCTCCGAACGCCACTGCCAGTGTGCAAAAGTGTATTTGTTTTGGAAGAATAAATCACCTCTAATGTTGGGAGTCCTACATGTCCGGATGTTGCTGTGTTGTATAAAAACTATTAGAATAGTTTTTCACATTTTAGAATGGGGTGCCTCGGGACTGTCCATAATTTTATAGGGTGCCTCGGGACTGTCCATAATTTTAAAGGGTACATTGACTAACAAAAGGTTGAGGAACACTGGTCTAGGCACACAAGGGAAGTGTACCAGGATGTAAGCTGAGATGTGCATGCACTGCTCAGTGTATGTTCTACAGGTGATTGCGAATAGGCAGGTAAGTGTATTTTTGCTTCCCTACAATTAGCTCTCAGATCTTCTCACTGAGCTCTGAAGTGTGTAGTTTCAGCTCTCCACCCCCTGCTTTTCTGATAGCTCAGCAACCTTTATACATTGGACTACGAATGGATGTACAGGACAAATGGCTGCAGATAAACAGGTACAACCTATATATAAGAATGTGTTTCATCTCTGTGTATCACAGGAGACCAGTCACTTGTCTGGGTATATATCAGGGCTTACAACCACTTTAAATGATCTAGTAGTATGCAAATTGGCCTTTAGGGTTATGATTAGAAGTCCTTTTATTAGCTCAGTAATGCTTACTGTAAGGGCTTGATTACACTTGCCATTGAGGGGTAGTAAAACCCAGCACTGATCTGCATTTTTAGCACCGGTCAACGGCTCCCCCTGTTGCTGCTGAGGCAGTGCCCAGGGTGTCCACTTGCTTCGGGTGTGATGCTTTGCAGCCATGGCAGAATTATACCACCAGTGAATGGTGCCATGCTGCAACTGCCCCACAAGCGTGCGGTTGTCCGGTAATTAGGAGGTTGGTTAGATGGTGAGGAAGCAATACAACGCCTCCTCACCATCTGCCTATTACTGTCTGAAGTGCAATCCGAATGCAGATTCACATTTTTCAGACCGCAGAGCAAGTCTAAGCAAGGCCTGTGTATAGTGAGGCATGAGGCAGACATACTCAAAAAATGATTTCTGGGTTATGCTTTGAATGAAAAATTCTACCTAAACAATTGCAGGTCCCTCTAGCAGGTCAATTGTCCTGCTCAGCACCAAATGTGCCAGGAATCCTGAGGCACTCTGGTTGAAGGATTTTTCCTCAGCTTGCTGGAGAGTCTGGCTATGCCTTCACACTCCTCCAATCCCTGTTATTAGTCCATCACTGTAATGGGTTGCTGCTCCGGCCCAGTGTTGTCAGGCTAGGGTGCTGCAGTACATGTCGATGAACCAACTCATAGCTTGCCAGCATGTTCAACTATATAGGCAGATTTCTGTTTCTTCTCTTTGATGTGTCCACGGCATCATACCCGCTTAGCTGACACCAACCTGCCGGTAAGATCAGAGGCCCAGCAATGGCTTGCCAAGCTACAGCAGGCAAAGCTAGCAGATTATTAGCACTCATTAATAAGGGGATTTAAGCAGGCCATACATGGATCGAATTCCGAATGATTTTTCAATTGAAAATCAAAAACATTGTTCGTTCTGTAATCTGATGGTGCCACCAATGATTTTGAAAATCGGTAATTTTTCACGCATTTTCCAGCATGCCTGATAAATGAAATGGGGAGGAACCATGAAAATCGGCTGGTGCCATTGCCCCACTAACAGAGCGAAAATCGTCCGATTATTCTTAGGTTCGATTTTCGAATTAAAGATTGTTCGGAAATCGACCCATGTATGGCCAGCCTTACTCAAGAGAAAAGACTATAATTCTACCACTTTACAAAATTCTGGTCCAGCCACATCTTGAGTATGTCGTCCAGTTTTGGTCACAAATCCTCAGGAAGCAACAAGGCTTTTAAGAGGGCTGGAGGATCTCAGTTATGAGGAACAACTGCTTAAGGGAAGATATGACAGCAATATACAAATATCTCAATGGCGATTCTAGCATAGGGAGAAAACTATTCAGTATCAGGGAGCCTAAGAAGACACGCGGCCACTCCATAAATTTGGACGAGAAGTGGTTTAACCTTAAACTATATAAGGGGTTCTTTACTGTTAGAGCGGTAAGGATGTAGAACTCCCTTCCACAATCAGTGGTATCAGCGGGAAGTGTTGATAATGTAAAACATTTTTTAGATGGGCATCTTCGCAAATGCAATATACATTGATATGGGAAATGGTAGTGACATACACACAAACACAGGTTAAACTGGATGGACTGGTGTCTTTATTCAACCTTACCAATTATGTAACAATGTTAGATCATTTGAAACAAAAAAAAGTGGGCACAGAAATAACAGTTTTAGTAGGCCTATCCCTAGTCAAATCACAAGCATCCCTTGCAATTAAAATTTATTTTTTTTAGTAGGATACTCACTAAAGCTGTTCCTTACCTAAAGGAATGCAGTTTTTCTTATTATAGCACTGAAATTATTCAACTGGTGAAATGAAGGCTGAACCTTCCATTCTCCTTCTCCAGACCTAAACCCTATTGAGCATCTGTGGGGCATCCTCAGATGGAAGGTGGAGGAGCGCAAGGTCTCCAACATCCACCAACTCCATGATGTCATCATGGAGGAGTGGAAGAGGATTCCAGTGGCAATCTGTGAAGCTCTGGTGAACTCCATGCCCAAGAAGGGTAAGGCAGTGCTGGAAAATAATGGTGGCCATACAAAGTATTGACACTTTGGGCCCAATTTGGACATTTTCACTTAGGGGTGTACTCACTTTTGTTGCCAGTGGTTTAGACATTAATGGCTGAGTGTTGAGGTATTTTGAGGGGACAACAAATTTACACTGTTATACAAGCTGTACACTCACTAAGTCACATTGTAGCAAAGTGTCATTTCTTCAGTGTTGTCACATGAAAAGATCTAATAAAATATGTACAAAAATGTGAGGGGTGTACTGACTTCTGTGAGATACTGTATGTCCTGATGGGCCCTGTATGGAGTTTTTTTTAATTGACCATTTATGCTTTTTATGTAAGTTACACCTTTTTTAGGTGTTTTTCATTATTTTCTATTGCATAAACATTAACTTCATTTAACAATATTTACATACTTTTTACTGTTGCTGTGCCTTTAAGTAGAACTATAGGCATTTTTTCTCATTTTGGATAGAGCAAGGGAGGGATATAACCCCTGACATATTTCTTTTCTCTGTTTGTGTCCTATGGCGGAGATTTCCCTTCACTTCCTGTCTCATAGCCAAACAGGAAGTGAGAGCAAATCCCTGCAACTTAAGGGAATTCCTTGGGGACCCCCAGGTCACTAGAACTAGTGTCGCCATTGGAAGATTTCCCCTTTATTACTTTTCTCGGGACAACCCAAAATTTGGGATTTTCTTTTACTTTCACATTCAATGATAATGGTCAACAGGACAAAAAGATAGGAAATATGGGGGCACAGACAGCAATAAAAAAAGACAAGCATTGTAATCCTTCTGCACTCTATCCAAAACTAAAAAAAAAAAATAATAAAGTTTTGCCTTTAGTTATACTTTAAAGATCCCAGTAGTATTTTTGGTCTTTGATATATACAGGATGGCATTGTAAATCTATGTTAAAAGAGTTGGTTGTAATACTCAATGGCTTTTTTTTTTCTGTCTACATTTAAAGCGGCGTTCCACCTAAAAAAAAAAAAAATAAAAGTCAGCAGCTACAGTACAAAAGCTGTAGCTGCTGACTTTTAAAATATAGACACTTACCTGTCCCTCGGTCCAGCGCTGTCCTCACCACCGCTGGTTTCACTGGCCGTCTTCTTCTCTCCTTAGTGCTGGCATCTTCAGTGTGGGAACCCGGCTGTGACAGTTTGCAGCTTCACAGCTGGGTGCTCACTGCGCACTGTGAGAAGCGCTGTGCTTTGTGAATGGCCCCATAGTCTTCTGGGACCTGTCACGTGTCCCAGAAGATTATGGGGAGGGTAGGAGGACAACCTCTGCTTCCGATCGCCTAGGCGATCGCAGCAGCGGAAGTGAGAGCGGGTACTTGTCAAATTCGGGTACCCAGTCCCCCACCGCTCCCCAAAGGTGCCAATCCTTAATGGGGAGCGGGGGACAAAGGTTTAAAGCGGAACGTCCCCTTTTGGGTGGAGCTCTGCTTTAATATTGGATATGATTATAAAAATAAACATATACATAATTGCTACACAAGCTAGTTTGTAATTGTATGTTATTAAAATAGACCTTTCTCTTTCTACCTGCAGTCATTGTGTTTTTCTAAAACTTTACATTTCTGTTCCTTGCACTATGGCAATTTGTGATGTCCTTTACATAGTAGGTGTAAAGGACTCCCCAGAAATTTCAAGCCAATGGCTCCCACTGCGGTCTCTGAGCTAATGAGAAGAAAAAGAGCAGAGAGAGCTTCTGCTCTCGTGCACATCACTGGATTGAGATCTAGCTCAGGTGTGTATAAGTGGGACTGGGGGGAGGGGTAGCTGCATGCAGAAGGTTTTTCACCTAAATGCATAAAATGTATTAAAGTGAAAAACCTTCTGCCTTTAGAACCACTTTAACTACTTCCCACCCGGCCTATAGTAATATGGCGGCCGGGTAAACCTCTCGTCCCTCTGGGAGGGCGTCATATGACGTCCTTCCCAGATCGCACATTGCACATGCCTGCAGGGCCGTGCTATGGCGAGATCTGTCACCGGCTGTGTACCTCGGACACGGCCGATGACAGATCTGTGTACTGGTCCCGTTGCCAGTACCCTGTGACCTGCTGTGACCAATCACAGCAAGGCACATGACAGTTGTATACAATGGATGGCTTCCTTTCATGCCATCCATTGTGTCCAAGTGTGTCTAGCTGTAGCTGTGAATGGTCACAGTGATCACATGCACAGACTGGGCCAATCACAGCCTGTGTCATGTGATTAGCCATGGCCAATCACAGCTAATAACAACAAAAAAAAACCTGAATGAATATTCTAATTTTTCGAGTTTCACCAGTATGTTGATGCTGTACTGCACAGTTCACAGTATGTAAAAACAAAATTGTGAAATATGTTTTTTTAATTTCTTTTTTCCAAAAAATTATGACAAAAAATTACAACTTCAAAAAAACTTGCCATGCCTCTGTTGAAATACATCGGACTGTCTATTTTGCAAAAAGGGGTCATTTGGGGGATATCTGTACTATTCTGACAATTTTGGGTCTCAAGAAATTAGATTGGCTGTCAGTACTTCAGGATTGATCAATTTTCAGATCTATACCATAGTTTATGAACTCTATAACTTTCCTACAGACTAAATAAGAAATACTGATTTGGATTATTTTCACCAAAGAA